AATAATTAATTAAGATGTGTATTAATATGAAAAAAAAATCCATCCTCTTAAAATTCGATGTGTTGAGTTGTTAAATTGTGAGTCCTCCTTTTTCCGCGGTTTGGAAATCACAAAATCCTGTTATAAAAATGGGATTTTTAAGCGCGGCAACACGTTGTTAAATAAATCAGAGTTTGTACGAAATACGTTCCCAAATTGGAATCACGATAAAAAAACTACGTTGAACTTTTACTCCCGCAATTATTGTATAGTTTTCGTTCATGTTCGTATTTTAGTTTAGGATTATGTTCGTCGTATGATGTTTTTAATTTCGAGTGCTCCTATGTAGTTTCATTTGGGATCTCTGTCATTTTAATTATGGAGGAGTCCTAAATGAGTGTTTTGACGGGTTTTTTAATGAAAACATAGGCAGGAACATGCTCTGATAATACAGCCTTGTTGCGGAATTGTTGCAGTACCATGATCGTAGTTAAAAATAATATTCTGTGTTAAAATTTCATTGAATTCTGTTGGCCAAATTATAACTAAATATAAGCTAAAATAACTACAAAACACCTCAATGTTGCTTTCACCTCAATGTTACATTTTAATTAGGTCAGAAGCGTTTATTTTATCACAATTCTGATGTTACTGTTTATACTAGTTATTATAAGGGAATAAGTAAATTAGTTAGTGTCACTAAGTCTGGGTTAGGTGGTCGTTAGTAGCTTCTAGTTAAAATGTTGTTTGTGCACGAATTTCACCAAAATATTATTCGCAATTTCGTTAGGATGTATTTATTAGATGTTAGTTTTCCTTGAATTTTGTTTCAGTGTGAAAGTTAGTTTTAAAGTTACTTACCCGTCCTTAAATAAATGGCTAATCATCATTAGCAATTTAATTAATTATAGAGAAAACTAATATTAAATAATATGTGTAATGAATATCTACTTTCGGTAATAGGTTAGGCATTTCTGAGTACATAGTCGGTATTACCTTACCTATTTCGTACGTTTCCAAAATACCAAATTATGGTTTAATTGAAATAAATGCTTTTAAATGAAATCAATTTGACTGTATAAACTTAAAAAATATAATAAAAATAATTTATTTCGGACATCTAAGAGATTCATAAAATTAATATCTATACCATACATTTACTTTTTCAAATACATAAGTTAGTCAAATTATCATAATTACATTAAAATCAGTCATACTTAAAATTAGAGAGAAAATATCAACATACATTCAAAATTTCAACTAGACAGAAACATATCATTATCATAATAATTATTAAATTAACTCGTCGAGTACCGGTTTTGTAGACACAATTATAGAACAATAGGTTGCGGTCACCGGTGACCGCTTGGTGTTTGACAGTTTAAATTATTAAATAACTCTCCTCACAAATGACCTCCAGATTTGGGATGAGAATCTATCCGCCACAGATTCCAGGATTTTGTTCCGGCTGCCACGCAATCTGCGGATCAGAGATACTGTCTTTTTGCGAATAATGGCGTGAAATCCATCAGTGCGATATGATATGTCCCAGATCATGAAATGTCCATGTCGGAAAGGAAATGTCCCAGATATTTAAATTTAGTAACACGATTTACGCTCAAGCCATTTAGGGTAACACTAGGTGAATTATCGAGGCATCTACCACCGGCCCTGAAGATCATGTATTCACTCTTCTTTACATTGCACAGAAGACCATGTAACATCCGCATAGTCCTCACACACCTCTAGCATATATCTGAGACCCCCCACGCTCAGGCTCCATATCGTAGCTGCGTAGCTTAAGTTTTTTACACGAACAGCATCTATCGAGCAACCGACGCGCCTGCTGCTGAGTTCGATGATGAGGACATTTATATATAGATTGAAGAGCTTGGGAGATGTCAAACCCCCCTGTCTCACCCCGCTCTTTGACATCGTACTACGTTTTAACAAATAAATGTCTATCCATACAATTTATTTATCGAAGCCAACTTTTTATTTCCAAATGAACTTGAATAAACACAAAATACATTTGGACTCAGACGGTAGGTTTGTCGTAATAGACAAACAGCATCATTGAAAGTTTTATTCTCAATAAAACAAGGAATGTTAACGAGATAGACGAATAAATACAAACAAGGGGTGCCGGCCGGAAAAAACAAAATAGTTTTATTTTTTTACATCAAAACTTATTCGTAGTTCGTACTGGCCTGTTACTTGGTTTCACGAAAAAAAAAAATAGGATTCGTTTTTATTTTGTTTCGCGGGCTTTTTTTCTAGTGTAGGTATATTTACAAACATTTTCTTTTATCTAAATGTTGTTTTTGTTTTTCCACGGAAATGTGGATAGCTGTTAGGTACTAAAGTATCTAATTTTGAATTGATGATAGAAAACGTGGCGAGCAAATCTGGACCATAGTAAATTATACGTTGAAAATATATAGTACATAGATATATTATAGTAAATTATATTTTAGTGCTAGAGAGGAATGGGCCGGCTCGACCGGAGTGATACCACGATCTCACAGAAAACCGACGTGAAACAATGCTTGCGTTGTGTTTAGTCGTGTGGGTGAGGTTACTGGAGGCTCCATTAGTAGGCGATCCATCTGCTCGTTTACCGGCTTGTAACATAAACAAATATGTCGTATATTGTGATACTGCAATTGTCTTGAACTCAACTATTTTTCTCAATCTCAATGTGAATACTTTTCACCTTCACTATCTAGCTAGCTAGTACCTACATAGTAATTTTACATTTAATTTTTATAGGTAAAAAGTCTAACAGGGCAATGTTTTCATGATATATTTATATATCCTAAAATATCTTTATCAGTATCATTGAATGAATGAAATCGGACACGAACCTGTCTGGACCAACCTCAAAGGTTAAATATTCGCGTTGCTCGGACCTCAAACATTCGAGGAATGGCGCCATGGATTCGAATTAAATTCCATTGTATTTGTTTTTGATATTTATTTCAGGCATTTCAAATTTGCATTTATTTAATAATAACTTTTAGTCTCCGAAGGGGTTGGCAGTGGTACATTAGTTCTATATAATACATATTATTATAACATAATATAACATCACGCCTTTTATCCTCGAAGGGGTAGGCAGAGCTACACATTATGCCACTTTACAATGTAACACCCACTTTTCACTATTTATGTTACGAGTCCCATGTAATTGAGTCCATTGTAAGACAACTGGTGAACTGTAGGTGGTACATCTTACACTATTTTATACCTAAAATTTCTTAATATATAAAGCTGAAGAAATAATTTGTTTGTTTGAAAGCCCTAATCTCAAAAACTACTGGTCCGATTAAAATAATTCTTTTTGTGTTGGATAGTGTATTTATCGAGGAAGGTTATAAGCTTAAAACATCACGCTGCGATTAATAGGAGCCGAGCAGTGCGAGTAACCGCGTGGGAGTAGCTATTTGTAATGTGTATCTTTGCACAACCTATATAGGATTTAAAAAAAGTGTAACATTCAGTTTGTGCTTTTATTTTCACAAATTTCCAACTCTAAAGTAATATGACTTTTTTTTAAGGGGCGAAAGTCATCAAATGACTGCTCCCGCCTGGGTAAAGCGGGAGGGAGTGTCAGACTCTTACTGACTAAAAACCACCCTGTTCCTTCTCCTGCACGTCGAGCCAGTGCCCTGGTTACCCGTTAGGTTCTCCGCGACAAAGTAATATGACTTGACCTTTTTTTGCTTTGCATCTATTACGTACTGACTTATAACTAACATTCAGGACCATTTTTCTATATGTATATTGAAATAAAAAAGACTTAAAACGTTGGTCCACCAATCCCATACTGTTACGTACACTTTGCTTAGGTAGGTCGAGATGGTAGTTTCTTGAAGTTAAGTTTTATTTTTATTTTTTTTTAAACGTTGCCCCACACTATGATTATCTCCTGTGTCGTGGGTGCGTTTACAAACATACAAGTTCACATACACATGACACCCAGACCCGAAACAACAATTTGTGGATCACACAAAGTGTTGTTCCGTGCGGGAATCGAACCCGCGACGCGTTGCACGGCAGCCGGTTGTCCAGCCACCGCACCAACCGTGCAGTTGATGAATGCGAAGAGACAGAATCAGTCATGTTACGTTTATCAGTTAAGTTATATAAGTTAAAGGTTGGCGATTCCGTTCTCTATCGTTGGTTTATTAGCATTGAGTTTATTCAACCTATGATTATTTGTTATTAGAATTACAAAGTATAATAAGTGCGACACGACACTGCTGCCGTGTCAGTACTATGCATATAATAGAGCGTGTATAGTTTAAGGCTGTACAATTCCAGTCTCGAGTCATGGATCGTTTAATGTGCCGCCGAAATGGACTACCTATTTATATTAGTGCCATTTTGATAGTTTACTTAAATTCTAACTTACTACAAAAGTACCATACTTAGATTTTAACTTTTTGTCACAGTTTGTACATCACACTCGTATCAACGCACTATAACACAACACTTCGCCGCGCTGTTATCTGTGTAGCGTTTGGAGCACGTTATAGTACTAAACTAAACCCAGAAGGAACAAAAACTGTCTTCAAATCTGAGCACACTTATAATTAGTTCACAATATTTAGCAGCTCATACTTTACCGTTCACTATCACTACCTGTTGATTTTTGAACAGTCGGTGAAGTTATTGCTAATAAGATAATATATATTGACAAGAATTCGCTCATGATCTTTTCAGCATTTCGATGTTATTTTGAGATTTCTCGAAAATTATTTCGTTTACGAAAAATATTTTCAGAACTTAAAAGTGCGCTCGGTATTCGGTGAGATGGCAATTTGAATGCAGATATAGAGAATAGATTCCGTGACGCAGCATGGACACACGACTACGGCACGCCTACGGTCGCCGTGTCCCGGCCGTGTCCTTGATATAGATCGCAAAAGACGGTGCTGTACTGTACACATGTGTGCACCTCGCTATTCAGTGTGCCGCAGGTAGAAAGCTACTTCAACGAGAGACCGAAACATGGTTTAAAATATTTGCACAGCAAGACGGTTGCAGACTGGGAGCGCAGAGCTGCAGGAAGTCGAACCCCGAGCCGGAGTCTGCGGCACCAGCGTGGAATCATCGCCGTTCAACGCAACCGACGACTTGCTCAGCGCGGGCGACGCGCCTGACGCGTCCGTCGTGGCGGGTGACAAGGCGCTGCAGGCACTAGGGGGCGCTGGTTCGCGTCCGCACGGCAGCGCCAGGTACAGTTTCTCCCAAAACCACGGGTCCCCCCAGCGCACGTAGGTGTTAGTGGCGAGGTAGCGCCGCAGTCGGTCGTCCAGCGGCAGCTTGCTAGGTTCTTCCATTAACACCACCACCAGCCGAGGTCGCGCGTCACGCAGTGCCAGCGCGTGCGCCTGTACACACGTACACTCTGTATTACTTTCTCCGTCCTCCCCCACTACCACTCACTTACTGTACACAAAATATTCGTAATCTTGGATGTTGCTTGCTGACAATTTTTTCAAAATTAGTGATAGGATTCTAACCTCTTGGAACTCGGCGCGTGCCCAACTGGAGCGCAAGAAGTGCTCGGAGACGACGGCCACGGTCCGGCGCGAGGCACGGACCGAAGCCGCTATCTGCGCTGGGATCCAGCCACCCGGTGCCCAGTCGCGGTAGTGCAGACAGAGGCGGTAGGGCGTCGGGCCACTCTCCAGCCGTGCCACCAGTTGCGAACGCACGAACTGCTCGTCGCCGTGCGAGAATGATACGAACACGTCGAAGCAGCGCGCATCGTCCTCCAGCTCAGGCAGCCATCCGCGGCGTTGCCGCATCACCTTCAGGCGCAGACGCAACCCCGGTTGGCGCCACAGCGCAGCGAACAGCAGCGCGCATAGCAGCAGCGTGGCCAGCGCGGCCGCCGCGCCCAGCGCCGGCGCCCACCAGTGCGTGCAGGCGGTGTCCAGGGCTTTCGCAAGCGGAGCGCCGCCGACACAGACAGCGCGGTCGGCATCCTTGAGTCCGGCGCGCAGCACGGCGAGTGTGTCGGCGGCGTTGCAGTCGCAGGCGAGCGGGTTGCCTGCGAGCCACAGTCCGTGTTTCACTAGCTCGCTTGCGGTGCTAGCGCTCAGCGAGCTCACAGAGTTGTTGCGCAGGTCTAATACCTGGGATCGACGATTAGTATCACTTCGCGTTATATACGACACTATTGATAATAATTATGTCGTAAAAACGATAATGAAATGGTTATTTTAATTATCATTTACTAGCGACCCGCCCCGGCTTCGCACGGGTGCAATATGCATGTATTATACATACAAACCTTCCTTAAGAATCACTCTGTCTATTAAAAAAAACCGCATCAAAATCCGTTGCGTAGTTTTAAAGATCTAAGCATACATACGGACATACAGCGAAAGCGACTTTGTTTTATACTATGTATTGATTTTATTGCATTAAAATGTCAAAAACATTTATTTTTGAGTGGGTGGTAATAGTTGGTTATCATAACCAATTAAGTTGTACCGAGTACTTAGTTGTAAAAATAGTACCGAGTGATATTCGATATAGTTTAAGACTACATTTTGAAGAAAGTAATAGGTTAGTCCAAAACCTCAAATTCTGAGAGAAGTTATCATTTCCAAGTGAGGCAAAACGAGCGAACATTGTAATGAAAGAATTCAAAGTCACCGTGAGATTGTGCGGCATGTCTTCCAGCACGACGTGGTCGATGTGGTTGTGAGCGAGGTACAGCTCCCAGTCCACGGTCAGCCCGCGCGGCACCCGCACCGCCGCCACTGCCACACGCACCGAGCGCAGCCCCACCGCCTCGCACCGCACACGCAGCACGGTGCGGTTGCCCGGCCGCCACGCGCACGCGCACGGCGCATCACAGCTCACGCCCGGCGGTGCGCCCGTGCACTGCAGCGCATCCAGCATACTTCCTAGCAGCCCACCACCCAAACAGCGGGGTTCAAGTGGCGCATGCGCGGGGCGCTCGTGGAAGGCGCGCGCGGCCCAATACACGTGGCAGTCACAGCGGAGGACGCTGGAGAGATGCAGGCGCGTCAGCAACGGCGGCTCGTGAGGGCTCACGGCGCGCTCGTAGTCGTGGCGCGTGTAGTGCAGCGTGCTGACGTTGTTGCGCTGTAGGTCCACGTCGACGCGCCCATAGAACTGCATGTCTGCGAACTACAGGAGACGATCAGCGTGGTGAGAGACGGCTAGGGTTGGGCCAAGCGCGAGCTGACACTCACAGTGATATACTCGAACAAGTTGTGCGTGAGGTCGATGGTTTCCAGGTTCGTCATGTTTTCCCGCCAATCGCGACAGATCATACTGATGCTCGTATTTGCCAATTTGAGACTCCTTAACTGCTTCAAATATTGTAGTGGTGATGATCCTGAAATTACAGTCATTTATATTAGAAACAGGTTATGGATATATCAGATTACAGCTATCACACAATGATAGTGTATAAAATATATCGTGTAGATATGTTACCTGGCACTGCCTTAGATTTCCTGCTGCAGAAGTCGTTGAGATTGTTGTAGCTGAGGTCCAAGCAAACGAGGGACGTGATGGTCGACAGTGACGACAACACATTCTGTGTGAACCGATTCCAGGACAGATTCAGCGACTCAAGTGAATTAGTCTTCGCGAATAAGATCCTGCATTGATAAACGTCAGTGACATGCAAACGATACATTCGTACCACGTAAATACATCTTTTATAAACTACGTTTAAAAAACCGTTATATATTAACTAACTTCTATTAATAGTATATCCAAGTTCTTCTACTAATAGACAACTTAAAAAAAAAGTTGGTTATTTAATGTATTAAAACCGCATCAAAATCGGTTCAACCAATAGCGAAATAATCGCGCACAAACATATTTACATACACACACGCGTACAGGTCAAACTGAGAACCTCCTTCTTTTTTCGAAGCCGGTTAAAAATGAGCGCGATCAACGAGTACTAAGCTCACCCCGGTAATTCTAGCAGATGATTCGAGGACAAGTCCAGCAACTTTAGTTGCGGCACGTCGTCCAGCAACCCCGGCGGCAGGTACTGCAGCGCCGTGCGCACTACGCGCAGCTCCCGCAGCAATACTGCGCCGCGTAACACGCCCGGCTCCAGCCGTGAAAGCCGTGCCGCCGTGATCACGTGCAGCGACCGCAGCGCCGCACAGCGCGCCAGCCAACCTGTCGGAAGCTCCTCGGCTGCTACGTCACGCAAGTCCAATACCTTCAACGCGCACTGCAACCACGGCGTCGGGTGCGTCTCGCTCCAGCCAGCTGCCATCAGCTTGCGCAGCGTTGGCGGAAGCTCGCGCACAAGCAACGCCGACGGCAGTTCCAGTACCAATACGCGTAGCGCACCGCCTGCCTCCACGTGCACGTTGGCGGAGTCGCGAACAAGTAGGTCGGCTAGGCGTGGCAGCGCGGCCAGGTCCGCGGCGGTCACGTTCATACCCATGCGAGTGAGGCTGAGCGTCTCCAGCGAGGCTGGTAAGCGGCGTAGCTCGCTAGGCGCTGTGCGCACCCTATCCAGCTGCAAGAATCGTAGCTGGGACAGCGCTGACAGTGCCCCGGGTGCCAGCGCCGCCGTTAGTAGCTCCAGTCTAGGCAGATGCTGGAGCTGTGCGAAGTGGATGGCCGTAAGATTGCCGGCTTGAGTCAGAACCAGGCTGTCGAGCACCACCACGTTGAATCTCTCAAGCACGTCGGCGTACGAGCTTTGTGGCGGCGGGCAATGTTTGAAGCGTACCTTGTTTACGCGTAATTGCGATTTGAAACTAGGTAATGCTGAATTATCGAGCGTTAAACCTTCCGGACATTCTAAATTAAAGTAGCCACTGTCCGTATACACAGCCAATGGCAGAGACTCTCTTTTATATTCAATCAGGACCTTTAAACCTGTTGGAAAGAAATATTTTTTTGTAATCTATATATTTATAAATAAAAGAAAGTCACATAATTTATAACTCAAGAACGGCTAAATCGATTTGGTTAAAATGGTAGCTTAGAACAAGGAGATGGTCATAGGATCCTTTTATGCATATTCTGAAAAGGGAATGGGAAAAACGGGATTTCGTGTACGAAGTCGCGGGCAGAAGCTAGTATTATTATAAAAGTACTAACATTAACGAATGAGAAGCGACCTAGATTGTAGATTGTTGGTCAAATGACACCAAAGAGGAAATAAAAGGCTTTAAATCGGAAGTGGAATATCTAAAGAAGCATCGATTATAAATAATTTCCAAAGAAATTTCAACAGTGAATGCCGTGCCGCTGCCTTGCTTCAAATTTTAAGAGTCTGTTTTGTAATTAACCTGGATATCTGCGGTACTTCTGAAAAGACCGCAGTAGAACAAGAATCCAATGGGTCATGCCTTGGCAGAGTGCATCAAACAGCTGATCCCAATAACGCGTCAGCAGTACAAGTTGGTAGACAGCTCGCCGCTGACTATACAATATATCCGTCTTTATGAACAAAAAAAAAAAAAAAAAAAAAAAAAAAAAAAAAACACATTGGGTACATACTTAAAACATATGTAGTTACACAATAAAATTACTTTGAGTAGCCGAGGGTAATCTTAAAAATATTGGGTCGAGAATATCAAACATTGTGTTTTTACTAATAGGAATTTGCAATAGCAATGGTCTTATTACGTATCGAAGATTCGAAACACATTAGTTGCTTTCACAGATGTACAATAATAATTATGTTATGGACAACTATCAATACCGCGCAGTTACTGTATTTTAACATTAATTTAGCACGACAATATAATTAAAAGTTATTAAAAACTCACAGACCGGACAAAACTAAATGTTTACACTGTGTCTGTGTCTACCTACAAGGAAAAGGTATTGGTAGCACCTATAGTTATGCTTACATAGAAATGCTTATTTTTTGCGTACAATGTAACTTTTTCTAACGGACATTCCAGAACATAAATAAAAGGTACTAGGTGTTGCCCGCGTCTTCGTCCGCGTAGAATTTGAATTTTAGGACATAACATTTTATGATTCAATTTCTCAAAATAAAAGTAGCCTATGTTACAGGAGTAACATAGGCTTCACACTTCAGGATCCTGAAGTTGTATAGGGGCGACTCACCATCAACTATGTAAATGTATTCGTCATTTCCACAGGAAGACACAAAGCAGCCGTGGAACGAGCAGCGCCCCAGGACTGCACAATGCAGCTCGAACTGCACGGGCGCCCACCGCGCCACGAGCTGTGCAGGCGCCCACCACTCCTCGATCAGCGCAAGTACTAGAACCCAGCGCGCCATGCTTCACAAACACATCATGGACGAACAAGTCACTAAAATCGTCACAACAATATCAATCAACACGTTGTTAATAAATGATGAGGTACTTCTTAGTAAATGTACAATAATCTTAATAATAATTTTATTTATCACACTAGGTTGAGGACAAAAATTGAGGAAAACCCATACAAAACTCAACGGAACAGCACACCTAACACCACAAATACTTACATCTACCTACTTATACTAGTTTATCATGTTTATAAGTTATAATGACATGACCTTCGAATGGTGATTGTGATCGTAAATTTTACATGAATGTGCGTGATTGAGAATTTGGAGCTTTATTTTAATGAATTTAATGATTTTTTTAAAAAAAATACGTTGCCCTACATTAGGATTTTCTCCTGTGTCGTGGGTGCGTTTACAAACATACAAGTTCACATACACAATGACACCCAGACCCGGAACAACAATTTGTGGATCACACAAAGTGTTGTTCCGTGCGGGAATCGAACCCGCGACACGTTGCACGGCAGCCGGTTGCCCAGCCACCGCACCAACCGTGCAGTCTTTGGTGATGATTGATACCACTATCTCACCTGGTGATAAGCAATGATGTAGTCTACAATGGAGCACGTCGACTCGTAAGTAACCTATTGACTCGGGCCTTGAAGAAACACAGGTACACCCTTCAGGAGACATAGACTCTGGGAATGAATTCCTTAGCAGCACAAAGAAGATTGATGCGTTGTTTGGGAAACAACGCTTTCTGTCACAAAAAAGTCTAAATCACATGGAGACCAAATCAGGACCCTGCCATCTATTATTAAAAAGGAGGAGGCAGAACCTCCTTCCACCGCGCAACATGCAATCCGCGTGCAGTGGTCCATTTTTTTCACTTATATGTAGTTTTTGAGAGCGATAGTTGTTGTTGATATTTTCAATTCATTTATCAAAACATAGCGATATGTTTGTAAATTTTATTAATACAATACAATTTATTTCTCAAAACATTGGTCTTTACAATTCATTTACACTGAACAGAGCTTCAGCACCTTGCAGTAAGCTTCACTGTCAACCGTCCAATCAACATGTTTCACGTTCGTTTCATAGTACGCGCAAATCAAAGTTCTAGAACACATCTACCCCAACATGTCATCGGTTCTTTGACAAATGTAACCAGCCCATTGCCATTTCTACTTGTTCCGTCGGTAACTTGAGAATAGACTTTGGAGTATACAAAAAAAAAAATAATTTAGTACCACCTGACCCACAAAAAAAAAAAAAAGGTTTTGATTTAAAGAAAACAGCTAATAACTTAGCTAGCTAATAACTTCCCAAATCCCTGAAAAACTATGTCAGTCCATGCATTTCCGTCTCACTCAGTACATTTGACGTTCAACACCATGTTGGAAAACTTAAAATCTTGGATATTACTTATTAACTGATGAAAATACATATCTCCTAGTGCATAGCAAGGGTAAGGTTTTAACATAGCTGTTCAGCTCTACCTCTAATATTCGAATGGAAAAACTTTTTATATGTGTATTTGATCCAGTTTACTCACACAATATTTCTTAGAAGATACAATATCGCACTAATGTCGAACTCAAGCAGTCTTTATATTGTTCTTTGACAGTTGTAAACTTATAAATAACTGACGCCTAACTGGTACAGTAACTATTTGTTTTGTCAACCCGTTCGTATGAGTGAGGTAAATGGTAAAGTTTGGTAATGTTGTTCAGTCTAAAAATCTTGCAAAACCATTTTATGTGGTTTTAGGATATGTTTTGTTTCCGACTACATATTTACCTCTAGATATTATTATACATAATGTAAATGGTGGATAAATGTACTAACAAGTTTTCGGACATTTATGTTATTTAATCTTTTTGTACAAGTAGGTTTTACGCATCACTTTAATGCTTAACATTTTCACAAAACAGACTTTTTTAAAAGAGTAACGGATGGAGTTTCTTGCTCGTTCTTCTCCACTCGAATCGACATTTTGGAACGAGCGCACAGCTTCATTGACAGACAGACTGACAGACTATTATTTATTTCATATTTACCAAATTCACAAATTATGGTTTAATTGAAATAAATGCTTTTGAGTTTGAGTTTTGAGTTCACAATAATGGCAATATGATTACAGAATAGTCGTGACTGAGTCAAAATTAGCCTCATCAATAAAAACCTTCAATTTATACGTTGGTACTACGGAGCTATACTAATACCTCAGGCGTCCTAACCCAAAACAATGAGCGATCCATAACTAAACCGTGCGATTATAACGCACAACTTGATAATGCCGTCTAAGAACATAAGTCTGATACTCCCAATATTTTACCAGTTACCCGAGTAAGCCCGGTTTCATTATTATGTATGAAGTTTGAAGCATGTCTCAATTGTCCGCAAACAAACATAGGTACATTATGCGAAGGCACGAGCGGTTTGTGATAGTCCACAGTTCTGGAGGCCCCGGGGTCTAAGACGCGTTCGTAACGCGTCTATGTGTGTTCCAGTTTACGGTTTGCGTTTGCGTTTGTTTATTCATACTAATCATAGTTACTAGTTACATCAGTGATTAATAAATTAAACAGTTCGGTCATAGAGATTCATACTGATCTGTTTTCTGATCCTTACGATTAATGACATTTTTAAACGTTTATAGAATCAAGAAAATGGTGATGAAAATGATTTCCCTATTCGTTGACTTTACTAAGGTGGTCGGTTAACATTAATCATAAAATTAACATTACATTTAGCTTTAGATTCAGTAGTACAGAATTTATCAATTCCACAATTTTCTCTGCAAGGTTTAAGGTTATTAACATCTTCAAGGTTCCATCTATTTCTGTATCAAAGATAACAATCAATTTTGTTGTGTAGGCGTAGAAACGTAACCAACCTACGTCAAGATTTATATTATTGTAAGTGCTTGTTTAACCGGTGCCAATTAAGATCCTGTAGGCTGTAAGCTTAACATAATTTGACACATTTTACATGGAAAATAAGTCAAAATATCCATCAGTAAAGGCATTGTTACACATGCTAATATAAATACAAAGCATGCTATTTGATTTTGATTTTTGATTTGAGTACTTGTATGTAGCTTAAAATGTAGCTGAAAATTAGCAGGTTCATTTCATGCATGTTTGTGAATCGATAGGCGTTCAATTTTAGAAAAATTTTAAGCATGCTCATTATAACGCCTTATAGCGTGTTATTTTTGAGCACGTGTACTAATGGACTAATAAAAATAATAATGTAAGTACTTATAGACTAACAGCAATCGAATTAAACATTCTAGAAAGAATAGTAACTACTTTAAAAAGCTGATGATAGTTTAATTCATTGCTTCTGACGAGCACATTTTTATGGTTATTATAAACGTATAAGGTTATTATAAACGTATAAGGTTATTATAAACGTATAAGGTTATTATAAACGTATAAGAACATCATGGGTACAAGGAAAACAAGTCCACAGTACTATTTCTACAAAATCCTAGTGGGAAGGAACAGCAACAAAGCTATCTCACGTTTTTAGTCTTTCAAAAAATTAACTATAAATGTGTAGCCACTTTTGTTACCTACAAACGACTCTGGCGAAGATAAAAGCGTTCAATTCGTTTGGAAAACCTTGGCAACTGCGGCTGCCTATTGTGCCATCCCGTTTTCAAGTTAGAAGGCTTCTACGTGGTCTAATACACAGCGTATTTGAATGTTTTTATTTACATACAAATGCTTCTGTTTTCATGCCGTTTTCCGAATACTAAAGGTATTTTATTTTGTGTAGAGTATCTCTGAGGTAGGTGAAAATAGTACGATTGTAAGTACTTTTGTTTCACTAGTGATTGTGACAATTACTAAAGTAGAAGATGCGTAATACCGTTTCTTGGAGTTTCACATAAAAGGATTTACGAGCATTTTTCCGATCAAAAGGATACAGCATAGTTTGCCACTTCATCAATATTTTACACCAAAAACATATATTGACTAGTAAAACTAAACAAAAAGCTTCTAACCTTTTTCAGAACAAAAACGGTATCTTCACACCTGTCGATAGTTGCCATACTTTCAGTATTTTTACGATCTCGGACCTGCTTTATGTGTCCTTTGGGACAACCTCGACTTTCTTTCGGTCCTTTGGTACGAAACCGACAAGTTACGTCCTACACAATATTTATTTAAAACAATTATCGTTTTGGTGATTCTTGTGATGGTTGGGGTGCTTGCAAATGCTGGGAAAAAGAAAATAAATATACGTAAGTAACTGTTTTGTTAAATATGTAGCGCAGTATATTTTGTAATCCTCACCACAAGAATAAGGAGATTGGTTTTTTTTCATAAAAATATCTGGTCCATCGAAAGTTCAATGCTCTATTAGTGAAATTAGGGTTGACTTGGAATGACTAACGTACATATACCTCTAACTATTTACGTTTTACGAAGGCACTGCCTTATATGATTTGCCTTCATGTTATTGTGTTATATCCTCGAAAATATTGTCCTTTTCTTCCTGCATAGTTGGCAAAGTGGTCGCAAGTGCAACTGCCGGGCAAGGGGTCTCGGGTTCGATTTCCGAGTTGGGCAAAGTATTACTGGGTTAAAATAAAATCTTAGTAGTAGTAGCACGGAGACTGGAATTATGCCCGGTAAATGGCAATAGGCTCACCGCCCTATTACATGGAACTCATAAAATAAATAGTGAAAAGTGGGTGTTATACTGTACATAATGTGCAGAGATGCACCTCTGCCTACCCCTTCGGGGATAAAAGGCGTGATGTGATATTATAATATGTTATTGTCCTTTGTATGTAAACACAGAATTGCCATGGTCATATAAAACAATCACTCAGCTTTACAAAACCAGTTTAAAATACAAATCGTTTTAATTACACCCCTATGTTGTTTCACTGTTTATAATTTAACGCGACATCCAAAATAACAGAGACATGGCATAAATATTAAAATATAAAATATGGACTGTAGTAAACAATAATCTATTAAACA